TTTTATTATTAATAACTTCATATTTACATATTTTGTGAAGCTGCATTGTAGTGATACAGAGGTTTTCCTTACACCATAAATTTTTACCTCATTGTAACAATCCTTGCCGCTAAAACCTTACCGTTGTTTTATTGCCCTATTGACAGCGTGATTGATGCGTGCGTATTACTTTTCAAAAGCACAGAGCTTGTCTCTATGAAGTTCTTAGTTGTATTCGTCGTATAATATAGAATTTGGTGTTTCTATTTTAGAACGCTTCATCTTGTACTTCAATCATCATAATAATATCTATATATAAGTAAGAAAAAATTATCAATACGTAAATCGAATGTCATCATATACATCGTGACCGTTATCACAGTATTTTTAATCAGCTACGGCTTAATTCAATATATTCTCAAGCTATTCATCGAGATAGACGAAAGTATTATGATGGTGATGATGATGATGATCATAGTGAAATATTGTTGATAAAAGAGAACCGATGCATAGAAAGAACGCATATTAAGGGGCAATTACTGGGGTTCATTTTGCGTATACGATATATATGTATATAAAGAATTAGTGAGGCGTTCAATGATTGAATGAATGAATGAATTTAATTGTTAATGATCGTGGCGACAACGACGATGATTTAAGTATTTTCGTTTGGTGAAATTGACAACAGGTGAGCTTGTTTGGGTAGGCTGCACGCCCATGTGGGTGGCTAGAATCGATGGTTGAGGAGAAGCATTCTAAAGCGCAACGGAAGAGCTTCCTTATACAGCAGTTACTTCCCTTTATCACCCTATGAAGAACCCTAGCTATAGTATTAGTACTCTTGTACCGGTTTAATTGCACTTTAATTGCACGTTATGAGCAATTATTATCGAAAAAATTGTTCGAGGTTTGTTGTACGGTGAAGTCCCGTTAGCGACGGCCAGTTTCTGGATCGATGGAAGACAATGATGTCGATCATTTACAACTGAAAGAGAACTCTGCTTTAGAGTCGATGAATAATAGGAGAGTTTAAATGGCTCGAAGCGCAAAACAGTTATATACATAGCAGACATACAAGGAATGAGCCAGGAAAGCGTTTAGATGAGAGACGGCTACAGTGCCGGCTGCTGCTTTCCCTTACAGCAAATTCGTTAGTATTAGAAGTATATTTGCATAGCCATATGTTGGGCGTTTAATCTGGGGTTGTGTGGGATGAAAGTGAAAATGGGTTAGTATGAGCGTATTTCAAACTGAAATTCTAGATATCGACAGATGTAGTGACGCATCGAAGCACGAAAACAGCTGCAATCGACGACGGACTCATGCGAATAAATGATGAATTTTTCAAATGTTTTTAGATAACTGCATAAAGGATTGAAGTTGAGGAAGAAACTAGATATTTGATCATGAAAATGATGTAAGCGTAAGAGAAACAGCAAGAGGATAGAAAAAGTATTAGTTTCTTTACGCGAAAACTCGAGATTTCTCACGTGAAAACGCGTCTAAATTATAAAAATATATATATACACACACACACACACACACATAATTGCCCTTCATTTTTTCATATGCTGCATTATCTCGTATAGGAAAAAAGCTTACCCATATTCTGACAGTACTAGCGCGGATCTTAATAATCTTAATAATAAGGTAACAAGATGAAGGTCATTAATCAGCTGAAAATATACAGAGCAATAATGGATACAAATAATAAAACGATTACAAAAATCCAAAAATGGACGATGGGTGCAGGACCTATAGCAACTGTCGAGAACTCATAATAAAAACCAAACTAGGGATATCAATTGCGCTGAAGTATAGCCACCTCTTAGATTATGCCCCGCTAACAGGATACCTTAACCATTGCCCAAACACACAAATAAGGACGTCTCGTTTTCGATGTCAAAAACGAGGCTGGGATGAAAGGTTCCTTACCTGAGTCCGTCGTCAGATTTTCCAAAAAACAAGCATTGTACATTCGCATATGTGAGAACTATTTAGCAATCGCAAATTTTTACATTCTGACAAATTACATGTGCTTAGGGTGCACATCACCGGGCAGTTTAATTTCTCCAAAGACATAGTTGGAGCGAATATTTAGTAAATTACACTAAATATTGCGATAAACCTTATCATTGCAACGCCAATGTATAATAAATATATACATGTGCTTCCATATATACATGTGGTTTACGTAGTTCAGTATTACGGCTGAATTTTTATGCACAAAACGGTTATTTTTAATTTCATTATTTTCCAAAAATAGATAATTTTTGGAAATCTTTAACTCCAATTTGTCGCATGCAGCTTAATGATTTATTATTATCTTGGCAAATTGAGACAATAAGGACAATTTTAGCGGATTTTGTGGATTAGTATTAAATCATTTTGCTTAGATATTTTGAATTATTAAACGTCCATTGCCATACTCATCCAATTAAGCGGGAAAAACCTAAACAGATGGGGGTCGGAATCCTGCATATAAGACAAATACTATATATTATAAATACTACATACACTAATCTGCTTAGCTTAGTGATTTATAGGTTTATCTATCTGAAACAATCCAAATGCATTTTTATATTTGGCTTTGTTTCAGCAGGGAACTTTTCCTATAATGCAAAAAAGAGAACTAGAAAAATATATATTTTTAATACACGATGACTAAATCAAAGATATATTATAGTTACAACTGAAGCGCATAAACACAAGTCCGACTTATTTGGTTCTTTGGCCTGAACTCAAATCTTTCGGGCCTGCTAATAAAAATGCATTTGTTTTGTTCTAACGTTGAGCAGTAATAACTTGTTTTCGTATAAGAAAAATTTTTATATGAGAAATTTATTCAGGTTGCTTAAACCCTATAGCTTTTTCTACTGCAAACATTCCTTTTGAGGATTATACAGATAAATAGACGAAACGTTTACCTCCTGACTACGAGGACGATGATTGTTATGATTGCTGAAAGAACAACGAATCCGCCAAAGACTCCTAGCGCAATGAAACCGCCTAGAACCACGGAATAATTAAAAGCACATAGCAAAATGTCTTGTTCGAGTTCTCAATTAGACAGCAAAATACATATTGTCATAGTTAATTAGGATTTTATAACTGCTTTGGTTTGTGCTTCGTTTTTTTTTTTCGATTAGAAGCACAGCTCATCCCTGTTCTTATTTATTTGAGTTTTGATTAAATCACTTTTACACGCACAGGCTATCTTAAGTAAAAATCTCAACGTGAACGTGTGTTTCACAATTTATAATACCTTTGGCAATTTCAATGACGATGGCAAAGAAACTTGAAACAACTTATGTCCTATGCATGCTCATTTTCCGACTACAAAACAAAGTAGGCAGCGTTAGGGAGCAAACTCAGAAGTATCGTATGAAATTTTTACTGCTTCTTTGTCATTTTTGCATAATTAGCAGGCAAGCTTGCTTTCTTATTTGCATCTGACGCGTGTCCTGTCGTGTCCTGTTAATTGTTGCCGCTGGCACTAAAGGTTACAGATCGGTGTCTACTCGCTTTATTTTTAATTGCCCCTAAAGATGCTATACCGTAATGCATAAAACTGTATATACAGAATAGACTGCTCGTTAATGTGAGTCGTAGAACATCAATTGGCCTTTTACTCTATTAATATATAATACTGTAGATTAGCTGGCACTACATCAGGGGGCTGATGAAAATGATTGTGTCTAAGGTCTTGCGAAGTGTGTGTTACCACATCGTCGGGCATAAATAAAGGTCAGCCTATAAGCTTGGCTACGGTTGTTTGCAGCTGTGACGTTCTCATTATATTTTCCCATCGGAACGTTTGCACGTAATCATCATCCGACGAATTCAAATGTCCAGGCTAGTATTGCCCATTAATGGCCCAAAATGCTGGACGCCATTAATATTGCCACACTTATATATATATACTGTTAAAGGTGAAAGCTACCTATTTTAACAAAAACAAATATATACGTCTATCGTATCTACGCATGATTACTTAATTACTTACAATCTAGCAACTTCAAAATTTGAGCAGTAGTAAGTCTTGAAAAATTTTAAATTGCTATTATAGATTTCATAAATTATTCATGTTAAGGGTCAAAATAGAAAAATAACTATTTCCTAATTCGCATCTTTGGCTCCTTGTGTGTACGTGTACTAAGGCAGCATCTGCATTGGCTTACCCATATTGAGGCGCGCTGCTGCCGGGGGTGCGGAACTAACGTGCACTGTCCGTGAATCCTCAGCACTGAGGATCTCATTTTCCCTAGGATCATTGTTCTGAGGTACCCGGGCTAGGGAGGGCTTCCTGTGGCTAGGCAAAAGAGATGGCGGACGTGGACGGGGTCGAGCTGTCTGTATTGGTCGCTGATAAATAGGTGTAGGTTCTTTTGTGGTTGTAGTCGTACTGGTAGGTGTCAGCGTGGTTGACATCGGATAATCCGTCAAGCCGTGGGGGTAGCCGGGGGAAAATTGTGGGGTGAAACGATTGAACGTCGCTGTCGAGTGGAAAATTCCGTTTGACGGCTCGAAATTAGGATGCATTTTGACAGTGGTCGGCTCCGTTGTGGATTCTTCGGTTGACGGCTCCGTTGGAGGTTCAGTTGGAGCAAATGTAACAATGCGACGAAGGCATCGGGGATGAACACCACCCTCCCAGTAACCTTCAGCGCCGCACCGCAAACGTGATACGGTTCCTTCTTCGAGTTCATAGCCAGGATCGCAGATATAGTCTGCCGTTGTTCCATAGATTTGAGAAAGAGATGACAGCTGGAACCGGCCATTATTCAGGTGAGGTGGGTCCTGGCAGACGATTGCTATTGGCCAGAAAAAACAAGTATCAAACATAGTAAAATTGAAAAAGGCCACCAGAAGGCCGTACCGAAGCTAGTAAAATTTAAATCGAATTTTACTAGTTGATTATAATAGATTCGTTTCATAATAATCATTTTGCAGTCTTGTACAGCCTCTCAACTTGACTAGAACTAAACAGAATTACCATTATGATGACGCTGATAGTTACCGACGAATTATACTCGTAATCGACTAATGGCAATAGATAAAAATTGGGAGCTTTCTACGCCATTCGCATATTTAAATCACAGTAATACTTTACTCATGTATAAATGTAGTACATACTATCAAGACCACTTCAATAAATTAAATTGATATCTTGTTTTTCAATAGATCTGGGATCCGCTCTCTCCGCATTTTTCCCGCAACTAAATTTTCTAGTGAATTTTAACATTGGCACATATATGTACACTTATGATGTATACATGGAAATTTTTTTGACTTAAGGCAGCTGATATGCTTACGTTCGCAGCGTGCCGGGGGTCCGTTCCATCGGCCATCAACGTCGCAAACCAACTGAGCTCTTCCGACGAGAACAAAGCCGACATTACACGAGTACTGCACTGTGCTAAGATAGTGAGTTGTGCCTTTTAGGAGCTCGAGTTGGCCGTTCGCTGTCGGCGCCGGGCGTCCGCAGTCGATATCTACAATTCAAACAAGTCCGGTAACGATGGCAACGTAGTAGAAAGATGTAGCAAATAGTGCCAATTATTTTTAAAGCCAGGGCAGCTGGTACATACGGCCGTAGGACTATACATATATATATATATACGCGCTCACAGTTTTGTGTGCGTTTATCATGACATTATTTATAGGAAGAGCCTTATCCGATCGAGCGAACACCTCCCTTATGCATTGGACTACATTTCTCAAGTGATCAAGTGTTTCATTCTTAAGCGTTAGTGACCTTTTCCTATGTGGCAATTCAGATTGCGGTTCGACTGTACGAGCGTCGGTCTCTTGACGGCGGAGGTATTGAGCGTAGAGCAGTGCTCTGAGGCGACAGCAATATAAAACAAAACCGATCAAACTGATGTAGTAAAGAGCAACCAGGCAAATTCATCTTGAACAAATGAGAAGACCAAACGATTGAGAGATGGAAAGAGCCACACAGGTAAAGATACGCGAAGGTTGTATAGGGGACAACACATAATAAACGCCTCGGGAACGCCCCCGTCAACGATAAATTCACCCACCGATGTTCTAAACAATACCGAAGCCCCACTCAAAGCCTGCAAAGGACGTGCAGTCTAGATTGCCGAAGGGCACGCCACGAAACAAGCTGCTTCTGCCGCAACTTCTGCCGCTGCCATAGCAGCACCGTAAGGGCCAGAGATTCCCTAATCCCTCGCTTCACTAAAGAATTCAAAGCAGGCAGAATGTGACAGGTTAAATAGGCACATGGGCCACAATGGGCTAACTACGGTTGGACGATTACGGTAATTGACCATCCTGATTCTAACTGCGTAGGTGCCTATGCAATGGGACAGGCCGTGCACGATAACTTCCCCACGATTCAGCTTTTATAAAGGAATAAATAAACACAACTGGTGTTTACGGGAAAGAGAAAATTCGGGAAAGAAGGAAGAAAACGTAATGAATATAGTAGAGGTAAATGATGCTCAAAACAGATTGCAACAACGCACATCTCAACGGCCATCCGATGTCTGTGTTTGCTTACAGTCCCTCGAATCTCGAGCCGACAGTGGAAGGGGCCGGAATAGCGTTAACATTCCCATTTACAACTAAGAAAAATAAGTCAACAGAAGAATGGAAAAGTCACTCCGCCTCTCGGGTAACAGGGTAAAAACGATGAACAGCTAAATAGAGACAAAAGGAAATAAAACGATCAAAATTGAAGGCAATTCTGTTAATCGTAATAGCTCCTCAGATTAAGCTACCTTTCTTCCGCTTGTTTTGTTCCGCGATCTATTCTGACGTCGTCTTTACCTGTCTTTACTCGTAAGCCTCCAAGTCGTTCGGTGTAATTACTATATGGAATAAACCTTCGAAGCAAAGGCACCTTCAAAGACTCAGAATCCTTTGCTTACCGTTGAACCGTTGTTTCCTAATGGCTCGACCTTTGCTGCAGCTCATCGGGCCTGATCTGCGCTTAACTTACAGCAGACGCTTGAGAAATGTTGTAGAAGATTAGCAAAGAAATAAATGTATAGCTTTAAGTTAGATTAATATCAATAATTCCCGACAGAGTAGAAGGTACAATAGTACCATTGACATATCGATTCGACATTGCTTCTAAAATAACCGTGACTTGCCGACAACGGCGTCGCTCTGCCAGCCGACACAACCGGACCAAAACAACACAATCGTGTTATTTCCAACTTTTTCGAAGCAACAGCCGTTTAAGTAACACTGATATATGAGAGTTTGAGAATTAGGCGTTAGAAGAACAGAGTAAAAATGACACCAGCGTTTTGATTTCACCATTGCGGAAAACCTTTTTTCTACCTTGACGCCAATAGAAGCCTATCCTAAAGCTACTAACCCGTTCATTCAAGCATGGATTACTTGGTTTTAGCGGATTCTCAAGTCTCTATGTTTACAGGAAACAAAATGCCAAACAAACTATTTTTTCCCCTTATACGATGTCGACGGGCCACCTTTTCCTTGCGTCAACCCATCTTCGAAGAATTCTTCTACGTTTATTGGATGCACTGGTCCATCTTTATATAGGGTTTAGGTAAATGTGCAAGTAAAGCTTAAGGGAAATTCCAAAAGCAATAATTACCCGCAGTGTAGTATTTCAGAACTATTTACGACACCTGGGTACAGCAAAGGCAAAAGAATAGAGAAGGATGGTCATATTAATGTCACGTCGCATCCAGTGTCGTCTAGCCGTCCATCCGCTGTACCCAGCTTGCAATCCAGTGGAACACTAATTATTATAATATGCAGTAGATATCAGGCGAACATCTACATTTAGGATAACTCAGGTAGGAACAAAGGCAGTTCAATCCAAAAATATAGCAGAACAGTGATAAAAATCCTCTTCTTATCCACTATCAAAGTTTCTGGACGAAGTTGGCTAATCATGTGATCCCTGCCTTTTCTTCTCTATATATTTCCTCGAAATTCCTGGGGGTTGGGCAATATCTCTGAGGGGTAAATTACCGTGGTCTTTCCTGTGTCTAAGGCTTTTAATGGCTAGTTCGGTCCCTATAGGGTCACGTTTAAGCTAGCCTGTCGAGCTCACCTACCAGTAGTCTGCCTTGACGCCTTTTTGCTCAGTGTTCTAGGGCCGACTATCGGTCTTTCCATAAGCAAGTTTTCCTATCGAGAAGTTGGAACGAACCTTAACACAGGGCTAGTTCTGGTCAGTCAGCTAGGTTTTATTAGGAACAGGGGTTCCTAGATCTGGAAAATCCCTAGATCGCAATCGAGGAGTGGAAAATGAACGTCGCTTCCAGGGACTCTTAGGCCAGTATGGCTTGCGCGGAAGACTCCGCAATGCATTTACGTACCAGCTGCATGCAACGACAGTGATAAAGATTTTGAAAATGAGAAACTCATCGTATAGATTAAGCATCGATACCCACTTACGTTCAGTGGTTCTGTCATCAATATTAAACCGTTAACGCTTAATTCGAACTGTCAGCAGCGGCTTTTCAAAACGAGGCCATAATATGAATAAAAGAAAGCATTGTACTTAATAATGCATCTATAATAAGTAGCTCAAATAGAATTCTCATGCATTCGGACAATGCTCTGACTGTACTGCAGCCGAGTAGCAGAATGGTGTTGGCATAAAGGTCGCCTTTATTAAGTATTATTTTTCAGAGCGCTTGGTCGACTCTAAAAGTTCCCCAGTGTCTGGTGAACCTGCAACTAGAACAGCTATTCTGTAAAGTCTGATCTGCCTTGGCTCTATGATCGTTCCGAAAGGGGACTATGCTGCAGTCAGTTACGCACGGATATTTGCTAGTCCAATTGGAGTGAATTAAGATCCCTAAACTCTCTTCATCTAATTCCACTCCGAATGGATTAATATGCTTTCATGTATCATGTCATTCTGTATTCGTTCTGCGAGCGTGAGGCCAGAGCATACATTAATAATATGCAGTAAAGGACACCTGAGCCGTAAAGGGAGTAGCTACAGATAGCGCTCCATATTAATGAAAAGAAAAACACCTTTAAGTTAAGTGAATAGCTGGTCACATATGGTTCGGTTTTTCTAGAAAAAAAAAAAAGCAAAAAAACACCCTGAAACCAATCTTATCAAGGGTAATAAACATTCATCGAATCAAGTAAACAAATGTAATAAGATATTAAAAATAGTACAAACTTACATTTACACCGAGGTGAGTATTCTGAGAAGAATCCTGTGGGAAGACAGGTTCGTATATTCGGGCCGATAAGCAGATTCCCTAGATCACATTTGTACTCAATGACGGAACCGACTTCGAAGCTCGTTGCTAATATTGTCGAATTTGGGGGACGTTCTGGTCTTCCGCAGATTTTGGGGCCTATTAAGAGATAAGATAAAATTGTTTTTGTCACCTTGATGACCATAAACATATTCAGACTTTAGGATAATGAAAATTAGTATACTATTATTACTAAATAGACTAAGGGTCAGTCGTGGTAATGACGGTAACGGTCACAATACCAGCAGATCCGTCAAAGTTCGTAATCAGCGTTAATGCTGTAAAAGACAAAAGGAAGTCTGGGTTCGATACGGTTTTCCTCAGGTATTTATCATCGTGTATTTTGACCTCATTAATAGTAACGCGTATCGATCCGTCCGCACTATATAAGACTGTTACAAAATAACGTGGATTATCGCTCCCGGACACAAAAATAGTAGAGAAACCGATTCCTGGCTACACATCGGCGCACAGTTCCGGCCTCCAGTTGGTGACAGAACATAATTCATGTCTAAAGTTAAATATAGAGACTCACGGTGTTGGCAGATAAAGTTGAGTTTTCTATCACAGTCCGTATCGCTCCACAGCCATCCCCTGGCTCCGTCAAACTTAGCGCAGTTTTCATCACCTCCGGGGCTATTCCAAAACGATACAGTAATATTGTCGCCATTCAACCATCGCCAGTTATTCAAATCATCCGGATCCCGCGTAGCTCCCATCCAGTACTGGCCACGAGGGTCATTGCGATGTCGGCGGTAGAGCTCCCAGGACAAGAAGCCCTGAAGGGCTGGCGACGTTTCATCAACTAGCGATCCACCCCGCTCCTCACAGGTGTTATTGGCATCGTCGAACGTCAGCTGTTGGTTGTTGTAAAATATGTAGCATTTGCCGTTATATGTAGCCACTGAGCCAAGGGGCTGGTCACGGAACGAGGGGCACCTTTCAATCGGCAACGCCTGATCGGTGTAGACAAAGAACTCACATAGCGAAAGCGGGTGCTCAGGGTTGGACAGGAAGTGCACGCTGACGAATGCGCCTGACATGGCCGTTGTACATGGCAGGAACAACGGTCGCCCCTCTTCGATGAAACCTGTATACTTGTTACAAATTGGATTCACACCGAGGTCCGGTCGGTTGTTGCCAACACGGACGACGATTGTCGCTTGACCCTGCTTACCACAACAGCTCTGACCAAAATCGATACGAACAAGTTGGACGACATACGGTTCCAACAAATTAACGTACCTGCAGGTGAATATTAATAACAAAAAAAAATAGGTAAATAAAAAAGAGCATTCAAACGCTGCTCGCACTAGTTATAGAAACGCTAATAATAATAATTACTATTATTATTACTTTTGTTCTATTTTGTACAGTGTACTTTTATGAACGTGCACATAAGGACAGTCAACTTTGATTGAGCTCACACCCGCTTATAGGAACCGCTAAACATCGATGAAACAGCTACCATATGATAAAATGGGTGTAGTCCTTCGTATCTAAACAGTTTCTGTAACTCTCATTAAAATTGACTTTTTTGAATCACTGTCGTCGTGGTAGATCTACGTAACTATATTTGCCCCGTGTGTTGTTGTAATGGTTCGCCTTAATTGGCTGGGCATATTGTTACACAGATACAGGTATCTCCTTTCCTTATAATTAACCCGTCTATGTTTCGAGCTTCACGTCCTGCATCATCATTAAGCACTCTATCACATGGCTGGCGTCCAGCACGAAATGCAGTGTTTCTATATCCAGATTTGAACCTACACAACAACCTGTTCCTAAGATAAACAAATACTAAGCTATCACGAGGATTCCCTACAATCAACTCGTAATGCCCTGCGCGGCCCTTGTCATCCCATAATGTTACTTGGCAGTGCCTACAACCGTGGGGCGGTAACAGCAACGCCGTGCGCAGTGTGAGCGTTAGGGGATCTTCATTAAGTTGGGCGGAATTTCTATGAAAGGCGAGCGAAGGCGACGACGACCACCCTGGAGGCTTCCTTGCTGCGGGGTCGCCATCTGAGGACAATGATTAAATATCCAACATCGAATTATCCAAGAATATCAGGAAAACACATTAAACGTTTCACTAACAGGGGAAACCACGAGGTATGAAATTGGTAAATGAATAGGACAATTATTGGATACAAGTGTTAATGGTATATTAAAGCTCGGTGCAAGTGGGAAAAGAACCATAAAGAGAAGGGGTATACTAAAGAGAACAGGAATGTCAGCTGGTTTAGCGTTCCACGTCGATCAGAGAGGCCCACAAAAGCCAAAAAACCCGTGCAATTCGCGTGTTTCTGTTAAATAACGACGTATGGAAATTATGACCGATTGTCAATTAGAGGGACGCCTGTTTGGCCTTGCTTTCTCCTTCCTACGTCCGGTTGATGTCGCGCTTGTTTTGTGTGCGCTTTTCTGATGCTTTTTCTCGCCCCCATTTAGCCTGCGTCCTATCGAAGCGTAGGCTGCTTATATTTTATATCACGCAAATGTCACATCTTCAATGCGACTGAGGTCGGGTTTGGAATACCCGCAACGCCATAACAGCAAATAGGTTTGAATCGTCGCCATCTTGCTGCCTCGTACTTGTTGTAGTATTAATACGACATATTTCGCCTCCAGCTAACACATTTCCCCCTAGTGTAATACGCGCGTGTTTCATTAAAGACCTGCACACATATCATTGTGTGCAGTACCATAACTATCAGCGTTTGAAGCTGTACATTTTTTGTTTGCCCGTCTGGTTTTGCTACAAAGATGTTTGGAAAGAAGGAAATATTCGGACGCAAACAAGCTTTAGTCACTTTAAGGGGCTAGGAAATGTATCAAAATGGCTTAAAAGCTTTTCATAATACATCTTGTTGTTTTATATTAAAATTAACGGCTTTTTTGAAGAGCGGAATATCAATGATTGGGTCATCCAGATAAGCTTTAACCGTTGGGTTTTTAAGACTTTCTGCGTTTTACACTTCATGGTCGTTTTAGGCCCTTAGGTTCTCGGAATTTTAAGCTGCTATCAGCTTAAAATTAAATTCTGCTACAATTTTTTATATATCGTTTACTTCAGTGAAAATTTAACGAGTTTGCGCTTTCGAATATCACTTGACGCACGATAGCTATTGGCGGATCATTAACGGATCAAAGACCAAACGTGCCATCAACATGGATCTGTTTGACCAAAGTTGAAAGACATGTCTCGGTAGCCCGAAGCCCTCGTTGTAATCGACGAAAAGCAAGAAGTTCTGTACACTGCGATTGGTACATGGCAATTGAGGGGCAATCACACTAATGGACTCGCCCAGCCTTCCTACGGCGCGCTGTCTCTCCTCGATTTCTCCTTTTACATTTGTTCTGTCGTTATCAATTTGTATGGCTTCAGTGTTAAAAGTCAGAAACGGTGACTAATGATGACGGCGGCGTTGTTGCAATAATCGATAGATCAATGAGACATTTGCTTGAAGCACAGCAACTTCTGTTCTCCTTTGTTTTTTCTGGATTATTTTCACGCCGTAATCTAGACTGGCGACATCGACGAATTTCGAAGCGATCAAACGCTTCCAGATTCACGGCGTGCCGCAAAACATTCTATCATGCAGAAACGTTCCATGCGAGCTTGATGTATAGATACTAAATGCGTAAATATAGATAACGTGTGCTTGTGCACACACAGTACTTATAAGCGCATGTAATAACGGCAGGATAAGAGCGGAATGTGCCACACATACAATTAGTACAAATATGATTGTTGTTGTTATCTAGGTGACTTGCGATAATCACCAACAACTAATTTGGCAGATTCTCAAACGGACGCATAGCCCGAAGCGATATTCATCTTACTGCAAAAGCCCGTTATCCGGCCATATCAATGAAGCACTCAATAATACCACAGAAAATTTTCGGAAAGCTCAGTAATCCAATGGTTGAATAACTTGCTAGTACCTCATTTGATAACATTTCATGTACATTTGATCTAATTAAGCCAGCCTATAGCGTTTCGACCGCTGTTTCGGCGATGCTACTATCTAAATTCTACTATTGCTATCCTTCGTTGATATTTACTTCGTTCTAATGTAGAATTAGGTACCCGCCTTACGGTGCCGTTAATATACAATGACAAATCACTAAGCGGATAATAGACACATCTGTATGAGAATGGCAATAAACTCCAGTCACTCCTGGAAGCCCTCAGCGGAACGCTATCATTCGACCTATTTAGAGGCAGTCGTCTGCAGTGAACGTAAAGTCGAATCTCGTGCCGCATGTTTACAAAAGAAAGTACAATGAATAACTGTCTTACCACCAGGGACTTGATTCTGCTTCAGTTAAAGAGCAGGTATCGGGGTTAAAGTATGGGGAAGTGGAGCCATCGACAGCCTTTTGCGGTATACCACCTCCCATAGTAGACGATTGTAGTGGGGCCTTACCAGCAGCAACGTTAAGAACTGAAAGTAAATTTAAAGAACAAACGTTTAGCAGCATGACCGACATTTACCCTATTAGGTTCACTTGTTGTCGCAAATACGTTCATCATAAAAACACTAACAATAGTCCAAGTAGTAGAACATGTCAAAAATGACCCAACGATAGAATAGGTATCAGGATGAAAGAGTTGGCTATCAGTCGACATAAAGCAGCCTGCCAAACCTTTGGCTAGATTATACATGTACACTACGCTTTTCTAAGGTTTTACAGAACACGTTTGACTTCTTCTCGATAAATTTTTCGTTGATTTCGTCACCTTTCTTAGTAAATGTCAAAAAGAAAAAAAGATTATTTTCAAATTGCCGCTCCATTTTTTTACGCGGTTGGTGAGAAATGACAATTAAAAAAAAAAAAAAAAAAGCGAACGACGAGCATGGAACATAGACGGACAGAGTGACGCAGCTTTAAATGCATGCAGATACAGCATGCCGATTCAGTTTACATGTTTCACAGGTGCCTGGCCGCCTCTCCTGTGGGGGCGAATCTCTTAAAATAGATGAGGCCGCTGACGTAGTTGTCCTGCATTTCGTATCCTCACACTGGCTCACAGCATTGCCACTGTTTATATCGCCACTGTATTTATGAATGAGCCTTTCCCATGGCGTTCGGATCCGTCCGTTTTGCCCAAATTACGGCAAAGCGCTAGGGGTGGAAGTAGGCGGGATATAGGAGGAAACACGGGCTGTGAGGGTAGGGGAAAGTTCAAACATTAGCAGACTACCGATCGCCGTATAAGTCGAAACTTGTTTGCCGTTAGCTTGGGGCCGGGTCCAAATGCGACCAAATACGAGTGTAATACAACAGCAATCGTAATATTAACTGGTTCTGGGTGGAAGGCTGAAGGATGTTTCTGCTTCCTTCACCCTTCTTGAATTCTTGGGGGTTGAAGAAACAAGAGAACAAAGGGCACAATTGGTGCAAATTGCGAGCCATTGCCATGAGCTTCCCTTCTTCGTTCGCTTCATAAATGGCGTCGGCAGACGTTGACGAACAAGTTGAATCAAAATAGAATTGCCAGGTAACGCACGCACCAGATGTAAACAACGCTTCGTTCCCGGCGCGTTAACTTGTCACGTAAACGTAGCTTACGGGTGTGGTGATACCGTCATTAGCTCACGTTCTCAATTACGCTGCTTTGTCTCACTGATTGTTTGTGTATATGGGTGCGAGTGACCAATATTACTTTGTTATTATCAATTTGTCTGGTGACAATAGGACAATTTATTAATTAATTACTGAAAATCTTGCGCGCACCTCATTGAATTCTTTGGTATAATAGGCACAAATAACCGGCATGCGGTCACGTTCAAATGTTAGCGTTAGCAAAAAGTTAGTTCCAGAAACTAATGCTCAGAGTAATACGGTGTTAAAGAAAAATAAAGAGCCTTAAAACTGATAGTTGCCTCTATTGTTGATACATTGTTTTATAAGTCTGTTGAAGCAGTTCCAGATAAGTCCAGTAAAGCGTGCCCTGGTGACCCTTCTAATAGTGCACCTTTCATGCTATACCTAAAAAGACTTCGAGAACTTCCTTACATGGAGAGTGTATTTACGAGTGTTAAACAAACATTAGCAGTAAGATCTAAATATAATAGTAGCATATAGAAATGGGATGGTGTCTAGTCGAGATGTGAACATATGAGTATGGCTTACGTTAGCACATCATTACTCCGTTGTAGTTTCTTTTTAAACGGTTAATGAAATAATTTTTTGTGTTTTGCGTGCGCTGGAACGTTCGGGCTACATTACGCCACAACATTATATCAAACGAAAAAATTATTGATCTTGCTAAGTATTAACGACTACTATCGGTGAAGTGATTATGATAGTCATCTTCAGAAGATATTGATACCATCAATCATCTGTAAAGCTGGCTGTCTTCAGAGTTGGTGAATTCCGGAGGTTGTTATACCCCCCATTGTTCAGAACGGCTGGCGCTAGGATAGACCATCAACAGTTCTCAAATCTGTGTTGACTGACCAGATGAGTTACTCAATAAATAGGTCTCGACTGTTTAATTGATCCGTTTATTTTTTTTATCTTGTCTCTGATGGTTTCTATTTATCCAATAGTGAAGCCACTTTCGATTTACGCATAGCTCTTTCGAAGTCTGAATAGAGTCAATACGTCTGTCAATCAATCGCCGATCTGAACGTGATTGAGACATGGGTTGACGTGCGTCTCCTCGAAATACAAAGGCGCCTAAGGCCTTGATTCAAGGCTGACTGAAATTGACTGAGGTAAATCTATCAAATGATTTTTTTCGTGCCGAATCAAAACAAATAAGCCTATGAACGTACCTGCAGAGGGGGGAACGCGAATACAAAACGCAGATTATTTGAATGAAAAACATTACAGGTTCGTTGGAGAAGAGAGTAATAACTAAAGTTGATTATGTGTCAGTCCGCTGAGCTAATCACTAACTGTCTATCTGCCCCTCTGCCTTTTACCATTTCATGAGAAATCTCGCTTTTCTTCAGCGAAAGCGAATAGTTTATTTATAGTTCATACCGAATGGGCGTTATCAAAATCGATCTTGGTCTTATATTGAAATGACTAAATGTTTCGATATTAAAGCAAGCTGTTTAGGCAAAAACTATGTGAAATAATAAGTAACTATTCTGAAGCAACGTCACGACATGGGCGATTGCAAGTAACATACTTTTTCACATGGTTTCTCTAAAGAGATGCTGACGTTAACGAAGAACTTAAAGTAATAGTTCAAGGATCTGTGTTCGAATAGGTCAAGGTTCGAGTTTGACTAGTAATTTTTCGATCAATACACAAATCGATATTGTGTAGAACTACTTACGAGTCCTCTAAGTGTATGTCGCAAATGAGGGTCTTTGTCGAACTCCGCACTGAGGAGATCGGAAGGTCCGTTTAATGAAGCCTAACATTAATACGCTTTCTACCGTTAATACAGCGTTGCTATGCAGGATTTCCTGTCCTGTCTTGCCTCTGAAAAGGAGTGTCGTCGCAAAAGCGTACGCTGCCGTTATTATGACCATCATCTTAGCTTTCCGTTGTTTTCCGCCCGACGCTCTCATTGGACGAAATATCATCGGACAAGCGGATCGAAAGATCCACTTTAAGCAAACAGAATTTCGCTAGTTTCAATCAAATGTTTATCCTGTGCGTTGTTCCGTGGGCGGTTCGATGCAGCTTGACGTCTACTGCTGTTGCGCCACCTGACTCTCCACCTAACGACCCAAACAGCGTCGAAACATGCAACATCCGCCTGTGCACTAGTCGGCCGTTAGCTCGTCCTTTACCACGTGCGTCCCATCTTTTTCCCTAGCTGACTGACAGACCGATCCGAAAAAAGGCGGCTGGGGACGCATTGCGCGATCATAGTAGAAAAACATAAAGATCCGAGACATTAAATGGCCATGTACACAGAGAGCGGGAAAGAGAAAGCATTGGACGCTGAGACGATGCGTTCAGCATCCAGTGACTAAGCAGCAGCTGGACCCTACTGCTACGACTACGGCCGTGCCGTCATACAACTTCATCCTGCATGCGTATTTGCATGTTTGTGTCTACATCTGTCTGTTTGTAATCCTGGCTCCCGCCGGCGGATTTCCACGTAGTAAACAGTTCCTCCTTCCCCTAGAAAACGGATGGTTTCAGAACAGTCCCATTATCGTTTAACACCAACGTTACCAAGCAGCTAAAAGTTCAATGCCTTTCTACAGTTGCCAGCATCGGTCCAAGCCCCGGATCGCCAGCGGGATCGCCTGCTAGCTATTGTTGGTAAGAGCGTTGGCTGGACAGCACAAAATCGCCTTTAGAAATAAAAATAGGAGACTTATTATTACAACCGAGCATTGCAAATGCGGCGAGTGTACCACAACTATTTAGACCTAATATTACCCTTCGGCGTTTCAATTCTGACGTCACGGTGAATACGGCTGTTTGCGAAGTTGTCAGAATGCGCGCCCAGACTAACGTACCGTTAAGTAGTCCACGTGTAGATGAAAGTCAAAGGAGATATTGTAGCAGCAGTAGCAAGTGAACTAAAGTTAACGGTAGAGTCAGAGAAGACAATGATTATGGTTTCGCTTTTTTCGGCCCATAGAAACGAAATGGTGTGGAAACCGCCACCGAACGGGCAAACAGTTTCCCATACTCAACGTCATCCGCAGGGAAGCTTCAGCGTTACGCGCAGTTTGAAAAACTTGCACATAGCAAAACTTGCGGCTCGATAATACCAGATGTTAGTTGGTAGTTGTGCATAACTTTTTCATACCGGTCGCCGACATAACAACGTTGTGTATATGTGGACAAATGGGAATTTTCGCAAGTTACTTATTCTCTGTAGAAGCCACATAGACGTATTCAGTTATTGTTGTTTTTAATTCGAATCCTCTTTAAAGCCAAAAAGAACTTCTCTATTTGTTGGACTTTCGCAGGAAATCCACTCGACAGTTGCGGATATAGCTAACAAAACTTTTCATTTTATATAAGTTGCCTATTGACTGGTTGAACAAGTGACATCATACGGAAAACTCGCCGATACACACTCGGCTATACACCTCACTAATCTTTTTCTGATCACCGTGAATAAATCAGAATTTCCATCGAATATCTCGGATATCAGCCACTTTAACTGTCTGATCTTGTTTCAAAAGAAAAGTTCCTGCGGTTTCTTTGTCCGTAGGAAGGGTCCATCTACAACTGCCGTTGCCAGCGCTGTAAAATTTAATCATTGCCTTTGAGTTTTGCACACCCGCGCTAAGCGTCGCCCCTATTTGAAGTGTCGATGACGACAACATTACGAACGCGATACGGCGAACGGATTTGCTTGAAAGGGCTCATTTCCAGAGGATCAGTTCGGCCGAGTCGGTGGGTTCGATGGGACACGGCTTTTGGGAAATGGCCTAGACGCGTTTCATTTCGCTGCAGATCATTAGCTTCCTGTCGTTGTCTGCGAACCTAGCATAACGTGCTTTCATCC